TGTGTGCTGCCCGTCGTCCTCCGCGTCCGCGTCGTCGTCGGCGGACGTCGTGAAACATTCGACGTCATCGAGATCACGGATCCCACCGATTATCCTGGATTACACGCGACACGACGTCTCTTGGCCATCAGTTACGATGACTACGGTGCGCACTGTACCCTCGGATAAGGTAAGCTTATCCATCTATCATTCACTTCTGTGTATTCTACATTTTTTTCTGCTACTTGTTTATTTGTCGCTTTATTCTACGTTCGAATGTTAAACGCTTCATCATATCGGGGGTGCATCCATCTCTCCTCTATCAACTTGTAACACGTCTACCGCACCCTATCCTCCTGGCGCCCTATCGTCTCGTCCTCGCGAAGGACAGCCTCGCCTCCTTCTGCCTCTCCTACACGCCTCCCCCGCAGCCACCTCCTCCTTCTCCTACTTCTGCATTTCCTCCCGCTCGCCACCCTTCCTCCTCCACCTCCCCCTTCTCCACCCTTCGCATACTCCCGAGTAGAGCCTTTTGCGCCATGACGTCGGGAAGCTGTGAGATATACATCGAACGTGACACTACGCGCATCTGCCGCTCCGCGACAATTTTGCGGTCGGCAGGATTTTCGGAATAAACGATGAATAAACTCTCACTGCACGTGGGAGAATATAATTCATGCCAAACGACCCTGCTAATCTTAACCATCTTTGTTATCGGTGATGATGACTTGAAGTAAGCCGTTCGGTTTTATTATCGCGGTGTTATTGTAAATATGTAATTTACCGTTGCTTTGTTATTGCGCATCAATTACCGCGCCGTTTCTTTTATATCTGTCCGTTATGTAGTTGTTTTAATCTCGAGAGTCCACTAAAGTTATGAATTTTTGTTAGACGATATATTTCCTCGTGCATGCGCGAGCACAATTGCGGTTGGAAAATTAAAAATAAAAGAATAAGATAAAGAGCCAGGATGAGGGAAGAGAATTAAGGTCGCGTATCGTTTCCGGAATTAATTAGGTGAACATCGATTTTAATAAAAAAACTGATTGTTTTCCAACTTGTGTTAAATAAATTGGATTCGTGCATTAGCGTTCTTCGCCTTGACACTATAGAACGATTAAAGACGTTTCGCTGATGATGAAAAAAGAAAAAAAAAGTGAAAGAGGAGGAAACGAGATAAGGTGCGAAAATATGAAATGTCACGCTTAACTTACTCCCAAGCCAGACAGACGAGATATCGACTGCTCCAATTTAGAAATAATCAATGCTTCCCTTGTCTGTTTATCTTCATTGTCGGCACAGACTGCATGTGTTTTGACAAACTAGTTAGTAATGTTATTGCCATTATATATGAATTTATTCACGTACGAGAGAGGGAGAAATTTTCCATTCTTATTTCACTGATCTCCATTAGATGGAAAACTTCAAATTGGGCGACACCACTTAACGCTAAATGTATCATTAGATCCCATGGACCTCTCGGTGTCTTTAATACACGCTCCGTTTCGTGATGAAACACGCTCGAAGCACACTTGTCATTATATTCTCCTCCTCCTTCCCCCACTTTGTATCTCTTTTGCTCTTTCACTCGTGTATCATCATGCATTTAACGCGTGTGCTTAACTACGATTCTGAGTCTCATTTTTATGTCACGCTACTCGTCGTGCTCGTTATTCTCACATAATGACACGTTATTTAACGATGAAACACGAAATATCGCTAAATGCAAAAGAAGAACATATTCTGAATTTTCATTTCTCGACATTGAAAAGAGAACGTATTCTCTCATCGTATTGTTGTCGTTATCGTTATTATGAGTGCCTGATTTTTTTATGATAAACCAAAACGAAAGAAACGGAGATATTATTGTTGTATTTGAACAGTAAAGTTAACGCTGAGGAAATTTTATAAACTTACGATTTGAAATAATACATCTTATTGTGTATTTCGGTTAACATGCGTGTATGTGTCATATTTTAAAATTCACTAACAGAAATATCTAAAATTTCACAATTCTGAGAAAATTAAAATTAATAAGATTTACACATTTGCCATTAAAAAAAAAATGCTCGTTTATTTGCATTAAACAAGTTCGAGGTATTTTTTGCAAAAAAAAGAGCGTAAAAACATAATGAATGTCTTTTTGCATCGAGATGTTGTATCTTGATATATGAGAAAAAAAGCTATCAATTTGCGTGGAAAATAACAGCTGACTTTAACCTTAAATTAATTTGAATTTATCTACTCCGGCTTATATATCTTATTCTTATTATACAATAAAATATTTATCGTTTATCTATATTATTATTATTATCATATTAATAAAAATAATTTCCGTATTCGAAATGTAATTAAACTTTGATCTTTTTGCAAGATTCACTGTTATATGTAATGCATGACAATTTTTGTTGCTTAAAGCACGAAATTGATAAAAATATCACATGAGATCTGCATATTTTTAAAGTCTGTAAATGGGATTTTCAATAATTAAAGCTCAAGAATAAAAAAATGATTATTATTTTCTAAACAATTTTCGATTCTTATCAATATATTGCATATTTATAAACGAATTCGATCGCAGTCCTGTCAATCGCTTATCACATCGCTATTTTTCCCTTCCTTTCGAAAATTGCGAGGCGCGATTACGTCGTGGCATCGAAAGGAAAGTTGGGGCCAGATTTCACTCTATTATCATACTTTCAGAAATTAATATTTTCATTTTGCGTTAGCCTTCTCATTACGAACTTGAGACACCACGGACAACAATATTTCTTCGCGTATCAACTTCATTTCTCATCGTGTGGGTCGATGACTTCTTAATGTAATATTCAGGAATTAAAGGCTTTACTCTTCTTAGATATCTGGATATAATTAAAGTGTCGGGTGGATCTTTCATAAAACTTAAAATTCATCTTTGGTGTGACTTCGTATAATAATAATGTCGCGTTTATGTCTTGAAGCTTGTAAATCTAAATGTCCATCTAATGTGTTAGAACTATATTGTCAAATATTACATACATTTCATTATAAATCGAACATATATTTTGAAACTTTGCATTAAAATAGAGAAAT